GCTGAGAATCTGACTCCATGTATGTGCACATGCAAAATGGGTAGTTATGTGCATAATAGTTTTCTGGGTCTAATTACACATTTTGTGAACTCATGCAACTTTAGATGCTCATCTTAAAATATTGTTCAGAAGTAACTTTCAAAGCATGCAGCACACTAAAAAGAACTTATTGAAGTTAGTTGCTGTTGTGTAACAGTTCCATGGTGTAAGCCAAAATTACCAACCATTGAAATTGTCTCTTGTGTATTGTGCATTTGAAAATTTTAATAAACAAGATGTTTTTTCCAAGTTAACATATGTGCAAACAAAACTGGAACAGTATGCTCTCAGGAAATATGCCTTCTAATATGATTTGGGGATCTCACTTAGAGCTGCACATTGTGAAAATCAGGTTATAATATTGCCCTCATGTGGCCTCTTTGGATATTTCCTCAGGACCTTCCAAAAATAATTTTTAATGTAAAATAGAATTAAAACATACATGTAAGTAAAGAGCAAAACTTCTGACACAACAGAAACTTTCAATATTCCTCCCCCCCTCATTTTATTTTATAAGGGTGTTTTAATTACCCAATTTTTTTCCTTTATTTCTTTGGCAGAAGCAGATGTAAAAGAACTCTAGGTATCCTTAACTCTTGATTGGGTTTTGAATTAAGCTTGTGGTATAAATTAAATTAGGCCCTGATCGTGCAAACACTTATGCCTGTGCCTAACTTTACTACTCTATGTTGTTACGCACTCGCATATGCGCTTGCAGGATCGGGGCCTTCATTTGTAATGTTGCCATAGTTGTTTGGTTCTAAAGTCAAAAACCATCTCTCTCTCTTCCCGCCCACTACCTCTAAAAAATTCCAACATTTTAAGTGAGAGTGTATTTTAGACAGGAAAGTAAGATTATCATCTGACCCTCCTAACTCACTTTTTTATGCTCTTTTCCTCGCTTACAAACTTCCAGGAGGCATATCTTTAATGGTAGAAGTCCAGGCCACCCCAAAACCTAGTGAGAAGCAGCTGCTCATTATTGGGAATTATATTTCCCCTTCCAGAAACAGAATCCTTGGAAGTTTGCCCCCAACCTTCTCCAATAACGGTATTTTGGGAAGGCCCATGTCTTCCCCCGAGGAACAAGAGGACCCATGAGGAATCCTGTTGGTGGGTCACCACTGCTGTTCCAGATCATCATTTCCAAAAGCCAGGATCATGATTAGGAGGCCATAGTTATTCCAGTCCCCACTCAAAGTACATTAAAGTCAATGGAGATCATTAGAGGAAAGGTTGTTAGAAGCCTTTTTTCACTTCCTCCCCACCAGCAGAAATTTAGAAAACATTCTCAGGAATTACTAGTAACCACTTAAATAAGTGGATAGTTTAAAATAAAATGATACTCAGAGAACATTTTCCACTTAAATGAATTAAAACAAACTTTAGGTAGGATAAATTTGTGGCTTAATCTATTAACAGTCTTCCTTTAAAACTAGTTTATGTAAGAAAAATATGCACAAATAGGAAATTTACTATACAAAATAGTTGAATAATGTCTTGGTTTCCACCTTCATCAAGTGCTGTGTCAAAGGTACAGGAAAATGGCATCACATAATAATAAATCTGGGCTAGAATAAATAGACATATCCAATAGCCAGCACTATAAACTAATGATAAATTACTGCACTTTTTTCTCTGTGATGTATTCTGGAACCATTGTTTTTGATTATGGGTACATTTTTCTCCCATTACATGTTACAACTTTTTCTACTGACAATGATTCATCAATCACTGTAGGTAGAAGACCATGTGTAGATAGATCTATGTGTGGCAGTGTGCAGTACTGGGGATAGAATTATTGTGGAATACGTTTCTTTGGCCTTTTTGCACAGATCCAATCTGTAGGTTGGGAGATGCATTCGTTATCCTGGTTTTTCCAAATGTATTCTCAAAGAGGCTTGTGTGTGTGTGTGTGTGTGTACACATAAATACACAAATTGTGTGGATTTGGTGAAGAAATATCATTAAGCATAGCTATTTTCCATGTGGTGAAAAATAAAAGGAACAAATGCAGGAAAGCTAACTAGAGGTAGAAAGGTTTATGTTGGAAAAAAATGTATCCTATTAAGAAGAACTTATTCTTCACTAAAATAAAACACTCAGACATTTTCAAAGAAAAAACTGTCACATAATAAAGCCTCTGCAGCTATGCATATCCCATTAGCAGTGAAACTACAGTGGGATCACTGCACAGTGGAGAACTGTGACCCTGGCACACTGGTTTGCCAAGCTGTCTCCATATTCCAGCCCATTATTGCTTAAAATGTAGCCAACAATATGAAAAGGAGACATATATGTCCTGCCTTCGGGAAGCAATTCTTATCTCACAACATGTTCTCCTTGCATAAAAGGTATTCTTCAACATACATCCTCCCATACAACATACATTTATTGCAGGGTTGCTTAAAAGTTAGAAAGCAGATTCTATGTCACCTAAGATCCAACCCACCAGTTCGTACTGGTTCTTAACCTGTTCTGTACCTTTTCTTATTTCTGTTTTGATACCACATTCCAAACCAGTTGCCTATGAAGGTGCCTGTACTAGGACATTGAACAAATGTATCTTGCCTTTGACAGGCTTTATATTTGCTAATGCCATGCACGGTAGGGTAGAGAACCCCACTTGCCCCTCACCGAACCCCAAGCTCTTGTTTTTTTCCACAACCTCTGAAGAGGCAGGAACTTAACCAGAAGTAAATGCTGCACCCATGTTCAAGGCCAATGACTTTATCTGCCACCTAGCCAGGAAGGACACAGCCACAATTAGTAAAAGGGACTAGCAAAGAGTTGCTATGAGAAGTCACATGTATAACCCCAACCTTAATATGAGTCCTTGACACTTAAATAACAAAATAGCCCTAACTTAACAACTAGTCCAAATGGCCCTCCAGGCTCCATTTTACAATGGAGTACCTCCTGCCTCTAGCACTGTAGTGTGAGCTCGCAGTCCTAGGCTTGGTTGCCTCTCAAGGAATCTGTCCCCATGGTCACCATCCTGGTCAGGGCTGCTTCTGGACTGCTCTCCCAGCTTGGCTATGTCTGTGCACCTGATTTGCTATCTGGATCAATCTCCCAGTGCTGGGGTCTGGCTGTGATTAGGCTTTTTCCCTCCAGCTGCAGCAATGCATGCTATCTGTCCATGCCCTGTAGCTTTCTCCCAGAGCCAATCAGGTGGCCTGCAAACCCCTTCCCTGTCCTTGCTTGAGTAGAGCTGAGCTCTTGCTCTGTAGCAGTTCTGCTACTCCATTGGCAGGTGGGCTGGCCGCAAGTGGCATTTCCTTCCAGTCATCTAGCAAAGCAGGGCTCTGGGGACAGAGGGTCCAGCTCCTTTCTCAGCCTGCTGCCTAATCAATCAGGTCTATAGGGCTGGCCCCTTCACACTGCTGATGTGTTGAGTCGAGGCTCCCAAAGAGCCTCCTGTACTGAGATTCCAGCAGGGCTGCTACAGTTTGTACCTGGCTGCAACAAACCCCAGTTATGCCAGCCAGTGATCTCCAGAGTACAGCACTCTCTGGCCACATCGTCTCCTCAACACACCCCTGATGTGGCCCCTAAACTGGGGTTGGGGATAGAAGAGGGCAGTGTAGAGATGTCTAGAACAATTCTACCCCAGGTCATGGAAATCCTCAGCTACAGCAACTTTACGGGCCTTTGGGTTGCTTTGGTGGCACAAAGGGACCATAGCCAGCCCCAGAATCTGTCCCCACAAATTCATTCGTAAAGAATATCCAGGAGCAGAAGCTAGCTCAAGGGAATAATTAAATGTAAACAAGCTAAAGCCCTAGTTGTGCCACACGTCTGATCTATCCATGAGCATTCATGCGTGAAGATTGCAAATGGGAAGTATTTGATTAAATCATATGTAGTCTGCCTTTCAGGCCTTTAACTGAATATTCAAAACTCTGTGTGTGTTTTTGAGAAGTACAGTAGAATGAAATAATTTGTGTCACTGAGCCCACACAACGCTTATTTAACATGACTGGAGGTTGTTCGGTTGGTTTGTTTAATCTAACACCAAAGAGGAATAAGAAAAAGCATGTTATTGTTGGTTTAGCCAATTCATTCATTTTTTCATGACTTACCCTGAAGCAAAAGTACTTATGATATCACTGCACTGTAACGATGGGCCAAATGCAGCTCCTTCCACTATAAGCCCAAACACCCCTAAAATCAGCAAGAATTGTATTGGTCCCACTATGTGGGGGAATTGTGCTCCTCCTGTGTTCTGCTCCATTACCCCTCTTCCTGCTGTGATGGGAAGGGTGGATTTGGGTGAGTGGTGGGAGTAAGTTGAGGGGGCAGTGGTGTACAGGCCAGTGGATATGCCAATTTGGGGATCCATGGGGCTAAACTCCTCATGTAAGGCATATGCAGGAGCCCCATCACTATTACATGGATTGTTGTATTAGTAATGATGTGGCTGGCTACATGATGGGGTGTTGGTGGGGGAAAGATTGCTTTCACCCTGACTGCTCTTCCATCCTCTGCATAAAGCTTGTTTACTCAGGCTCATGGCTCAGAGCCAAAGGGGAAGACATCAGCATTTGGCCCAATATGTTACCAAGAAGAAAGGATTTGGCTTTGAATATGTTGCTGCTGTCAAGTTTTTCTACTGCAGCAGAACTAAACATGAGAAGTTTCCACTTCATGTAATATGTTAATAGCAAAATGTTTTATGAAAATGAATTTGGGCTGTGGGACTTCTGTGTCTAAATGCAGTGCCTTCTGGTACCAATTAATTCACAGTTTATTTCAGATTTGCTTCTTTATAAATGCAAATAACTTCTCTGCTAGAATACCGAGAGAACATTTAATTTCATTCTTCATTTAATGTGGGACCTGGTAGAAAATAAAGCTGGCATTCTTATGCAATTTTGACATCTGCAAGCCTTTTAATGTATGGTCCTTAAAAGTATAGTAGGATAAGTATTTAAGAATTTGTGTAACATCTTTCACAGCTACAAAGATTTTTTGAGACATTCTTCAAATCCAGTTCCCCTCAGCAAGCCTTTGATAATATGAAAGAAACGATAAGTAAACTCTTACTGGTAGCTGAGGCATTCAGTGAATCACCCAACGTGGGACCAAAGACCTTCAGTAGGTAAGAAGCTACCAATAAATAAATGCTAAGTTATTGTCAAGTTCTTTAGAATATTATGGAAAGTAGTTGAGTACATGGATTCTGCTGTAACAAAGAAACTGATATTTTATACTTGGTATTAGAGTGAAATAATGTGTTTGGCAAATAGACAGCTTGAACAGCAGAGGCATCCAACTTTCTCAACTTGAGGGCCAAACATATTATTTCAAAAAAAGTCAGATTCTGTGTCCTGTTCTACTTCTTTTGTATTGCTCAGGCAGCACAAAGCAAGCAGAAACCTCCCATAAATGGGGGAGTCTCCAAAGGATGTGAAGCTGGCATAGCTGTCTCCTGTGCTTCCCTACTTTGAGCCCCTGATGTAGAGGGTGTTGAGGGATGAAAGAGTGAGTTGCTGAAGCTTATTGTGCTCCAGCTGTCTCCATTTGGCATATGGTCTTTTGGGGACTGTAGCTGACTTAGGCAAATTAGAGCAGCCCCGGGCAGCTATAACCAGGGCTGGAGCAGGGAATTGCAACTGATCTGAATATTAGCACAATTTTAGAATACTCTTCTAAGTATTACACCTCATGAAATATGCCTTAATAATACTGTATCACTTTTTTATTGGATGATTAAGTCATTGCAGTCATTCCTACTGGATTTTTTAGTTTTATATGAACCAGATACTTGACTTTTTTATAGTAAATATACATGTTTTATACAGCTACCTTAGGACCTAGTTGTTGAGCAGCAATAAAGCTCATTATTTGTCCTAAAGTAGTAGGAACAAAACTTTATAGTATATATTGTGTGTGTGAGAGAGAGAGATACTGTGACTATAAATATAGAGTTATTTTAAGAGTTGTGCAAAACCAGCTAGTTTTGGTTCACATAGTTTCAACAAATCAAATTGATGGGTTGGCTGTTTTATGGGACATCCAAGTTTTCATGTAGTTCCAGGCTCGTATGAATCCAAAATCCCACCATGCAATTGCAGCAAAGACCATTGGGGTCACAATGAAACTCATGAGTTTTGCTACATACTCACCCTTATGTAACATCTATTTCCCCCAAAATGTCATCCATCCAGTTGCAGAACCCCACACTCTCCAGCAGGCACTTCCTCCCCCTATATCGTTCCCCTCCCCAACAAACTTAGAAACCCTCATGTACCACTGAATGCACTAACATTAACAGAGGAATGCCTAGATTAAAAAGACCCCATAACATTAGAAATCCCCATTCCATCCCCTGTCTCTGCTCTGCTTGGTGCATCTGGTGGTGTATTAGGTCTCAGAGTAAAATAATGGGCTTCTGAAGCAACAACAATGGATAAGAGTAGCATTTCTCAGTGCAGCTACTGCTAAATTGGATAGGGAATGAGTGGTGGGCAAGACTGTGTTTAACTATATCTTTAAAGTAAAGTTAAAAACTGGCCAGTGTGTGTGTGTGTATAACTTCTCTCTACTGGATGGGATCAGTATTGTTAATCTATGTATCAGAAGTACTACATTGCTTACAGTCATGGAGGCTCTCCATTACTCCATTGCTAGAGGAACAGGGTTCTGTCCTCTTTCTCACTGTCCGGTCCTAGGTGGCCATGGATTTATTACAATATTTTTAACACATAACCCATTTTACTTGGTCTGTTAAAAGAAACAACAGTGAAAATCAACCTAATGGCTTGAAGTCGATAGGCCAGCATCTCAGCTAGTGTCAATAGCATCACTCCATTTAAGTCAACGAAACTGTGCTGATTTTCACCAGCTGAGGATCTAAACCTATCTGCATGTAACTTTATTGACTTTTTCTCTTTTACTTACAGTTATCTCACATGCCATATTCTTGTCATGTTTAATTTCAGATGCAGTCTATGTTTTCAAATGTTAACCTTTGACATTGGGTTCAACACCTCCATGTATCCAGTAGTTCTTGAGGTAAGCAAGTGCCAATCAATTTTTTTTTAAATGTGTAATATTTTTTAAAGCAAGTAAGTGATCAGATGGATGGAGGGGATTTATTTTCAGTATTTTTTAATTGTTTCCCCTGGGGTTCGTAGCTTTCCAAACCCAAAGGAAGGAACTGGCCCTTCCCAAAAGAGCATAGACTAAAAAGAAAAGTACAGTAGAGAATTGTCATTGATGATTGCCCCCAAACCTCTAAGCAACTATGCACAAATGTACAAATAAATGGGTGAATACATTAGTAAGTGGAGTCTTGGGAGTGGAAGAGTTGTTAAGGGACTATGGAATAATATTGACATCTACAGCACTAAGATCTCAACAACATCAGTAAACAACCTGGCTAGAAGGCATTGTGGCCTAGTGGAGCAGGGACTGGCTGTGGAACGGGGCTCAATCTTAGAGCACAGCTTGGCATAGGTGACTGGAGGAGGCCGAGGTCTTGGGAATGGCTGAAATGTCTCCCAGTGCAAGTCTAAATGCTGCCCTAAATTGTGCTGGCTTGTACTGCTCCCCTAGAGGCCATTATGCCTACAAAGATCTATGGAGCATAACATACTCTGACCTCCATCATGCTGCCTTCCGCTTCCAAGACCACCCTGACATATCCTCTACACCATGAGGAAGAGGAATGTGGTGGAGAGCCCATTATGCCAGCTTTGTACCACCTACTATTCCCCCTCTATCAGAGGAATTCTCGGCTGTCCCTTTAGGGCAGCTTTCCAGCTGTTTTGCACTGCTTCAGGGAATTTAAAAAAGCTATGTCTTCTTTTGTCTGCACAAAAGAAAAAAAAGGAAAAATATATTTTAAAAATACCAGGGATGTTCCAGAAACAAAATTTAAAAAATAAATCTTGATTAAAAAAAATCAATTTAGGTTGCTAAGTGAAATCGGTGTAATTTCCTATTACATCATCTACAAAATGCAAAGAGATGAGTAGACATAGTAAACCTTGCACTGTCCACAAAATAAATATAAAGACATTGTTCTTATCAAGTATAAAGAAATGCATATTTCATCAGAACTTAATAACTTCAAGTTGGACTCTAAATAAATATAGTACTTTCATCAGTAATCCTCAAATCAAAACCCTTTTGAAAACAGAAATTCTTTCTACATGCTATAGGCACCTCTTGATCACGCTCAAATGGAAGTCAAAATAAATACATATTTTAGATCATGTTCTAGTAAATCACTAGTGATAAATGCTTTCCTATGAAAATATGTGTAATAACATTATTCTAAAAAAAAGCAATTATAAGTACTTCTAAAAGAGATCTACTGTCAGCTACTAAATATTAACAGATATTAATACCATATTTCTTAAACACATTTGGATACAGAAGTAAAGAAAACAAGAATGTTATATATAAACCCTGATGGATGTGAGTTGCAGTTGTGTTAGGGTTGTAAAATGAATTTCTTTATGATTGATAGAAATGATGTGATTGTTTGTTATGTCTAATGTAAAATTTATGTCCTTAACTATTCAAGTTACTAAGAACTCATTAAGAACTTGAGTTTTGTGTATAGCATGTAGTCACTTAGCAATCTTCACTCTTTAATTTTTTATATATATATAAAAAGGCTGGATATTTTTTTAAAAGTAGGCTTCAAAAACATTAATTTATATGACAGTGCTATGCTCTTCTCAGTGCACTAGAGGTCAGCAAACACTATGATGTGTAATTGTTACAGAAAATGAAGTACAGTATTTGCTGTGTTACAATTCTGCTTATTGTATCAGAAGTAATATACATATGTAAAATACTACTACTTTATTTGTTTACCATCTGTGTGCATTTGATTCCTTTTTTATTCATGCCCTTTATGATTCCTTTGAATAAATAAATAAATCTAGCTTAGATATATCAGGGAGCACTGGATTTGATATAAAAACTGTACGTTAATTCTTTTCTTTTTCAAGGTGCATGAACACTTTGACTTTCAAGTTGATGACTTGAATTTTGAGGACCAAACTGTAAAAGAATTTCTTCTTGAGGATACGTTCAAGTTTCTCTTGTCTAATAAGTCTTCAACTTCCAGTGTCTTTGAGGCTTTACAGAACATTTACAAATTAGCTGTGATTAAGGTAAGAATGGATTTCGTAAACATTTTTCTTATTACAAATTAATTGAAAATATTTAATTCTAAATGATAACCTTTTCTTTGTGAGGGTTTTTTTTCTAAACTACAAAATGAAATATTTGTTCAATCAGAACTTTTTGGGGCTAGTCAGAGTGGTATGAAACTGTGAAAAACATATTATGATGACACCTTGCATGGAATTTTCTTTTTTTCTTTTTTCTTTTTTTTCATTTTCCAACTCTCAAGAGTTCACTTTTTCAAAGCTGCAATAGTGTGAAATTCTGTGTATTTTCAAGTAAAAGCAGTTTTGCTTAATAATGGGACCAAATTCCCTGTTTAGTATGCAGCTTTTGTGAAATGTTTGTGAAGACAGAACTAATTTCAAATGATCTATAAAATGCAAAACAGTCAAATTTCAGCACATCATATTTCTCTACAAATACTACGCATCCCTTTGTGCTAGTTATCTCTCACCAGATTCTCTCTTACACCAGACTAACATTGAACATAGCAGACTTGGAAGAAGGAAGAGCTTCAGGGAGCTTGTTTGGTCTCCCCAATTCTTTGCTCCAGCCCTGGCTCAGGTTAGTGCAGCTAGGGAGCTGCTCTAACTTTCACCAGCGGGGTATGGTGCCCAAGGGACTACGTACCAGCTAAATATAGCCAAAGCAAATTGGTCTCCACCTAGGGTATGTAGCAGCAGCAGATTCATATGGCTATGATATAGCTGTGGTGATGGTGTGTAGAGTGGACTACTATGTTGAATGTTCCTTGCAAGTCTGCTTCTTTCAGCAAGAGTCATTATGGGAAGATTTAGACTTCTTAAATTCCTCAAAATTGCATCTTTCAGCCTGATTCATGGTTGGCTGCATGCTCAGCTTCCTTTGACTGTAGCTTTTTAAACCTATAAAATCATACCATTTTCTCTACACTGGTCATTACCCCATCTTCTCTACACTGGTCATTACCCCGTCTTGTTCTCAGCTGGTGCAAGACTGCAACTTGCTGGGATTGTCTAAGTATCTCCTTATTTGTGACAAAATCAAACCTAACCAACAGATGTTAAGAACACGCCGTAAGTTTTGATGCTGAAAACTGTTCTTTCCTCTCCTCAGTTGTTATTAATGGCCATGTTTCTGCTCCATATAAAAAAGTTGTCATCACTTTTACATTGGACACTCTTGTCTTAGTTGTCACACAGACATCCAATCAGCTAAAGATAGGCCTTTAAAGATGCTGAAATGCCATTGATGCAAGATTTATCTGACCTGTGACTTTGGATATAGAACCTTCTGCTGTCAATCAACTACACAGATAAATTAAACTATTCACCCATTCAGTGTCAGTGCCATCTACATGCAGTGTCAGCAGGTCATTTGTTTCCATCTTATAAGAGGCATACATAGCTTTGGTTTTATCACCATTGATCTTAAGTCCCATAGTTTCTGCAGTTTTTCAGAGTTCTTCCAGCATCAGTTGTAGTTGGTCAGTAGTCTCTCCTAGTAAGGCAATATCATCTGCATAATCGAGAGCCTCTAAAGACCAATCTTTAAATTTCACACCTTCTACTTTGGCCTCAATCAATTTGCCATCAGATCATCTATTAGAACATTAAATAATATAGGCAAGAGAATTTACACCCTGGCCTACTCCTGACTCAACTGGAAACCAGTCTGTAATACAGCCATTGACCCTCACACAGCTAAATGTGTGGTGGTACAGTTCCTCCACTCGCCACACTGTGTCCTCAGGCACACCCTGCTAGTGTAGCAGTATCCACAGTGCTGATGGATGCACTGAGTCAAAAGCAGCTGTAAAGTCTATACACATGTTGTTGACTTCCTTTTGTTGTTCTAGTCATTTTTCAGTAACATGCACAGCATGTGTGGCATGGATTGTAGATTGATCTGTACAGAAACTACAGTGACTGTCCCTCATTTTTGGGTTGAAACAGTATTTCAATCAATTCAGTAGTATGGTCGTAAACACCTTCCCTGGGATTGACAGCAGTGTTATTCTCCTATGATTTGAGCAAGCTGATGGCTCTCTCATCCCCAGGGTATGTCTACACTGCAATTGGACGTGTGATTGCAGCTCATATAGGCATACCCATGCTAGCTTTAAACTAGCTAGAGCATCTAAAAATAGCAGCGAAGATGCGGTGGCAATGATCCTGGCAGGGACACATACCCAGGTTTTCCAGGTGGACTTGTACATCCTACACTGAAGCTTGTGCCACTGCATCTTCACTATTATTTTTAGCTGCACTAGATAGATCAAAGCTAGCTTGGGTATGCCTATACAAGCTGCAATCGCACATCCACTTGCAGTATAGATGTACACCTAGTACACCAGGTACTGCTGTCTTTTCTTTTGCAGGAGGAAAACTACCGGAAGGAATATGAGCAATGTCTGTCTTTAGAAGAGATAAATTCAATGATTCATTTTATAAAAGAGCTGAAGAGTATGGGACAATTTGAACTGGTAAAGTAAACATTATTATTGTATATTTTTTTGGTATTGTGCAATTTCCTTTGATGTGATATCATTGGAGGGATATAGTAGTTCAACTGTAAGTTATTTAAGAAGAAAGTGTTTCTACTTTTTAAATCTTTGAAAACATTATGGATTTATTTTCTTATTTCTTATTGAAATAACTGTTAAAGTGGTCAGGATCCAGGTACTTTTCTTTAAGACATCATAAAATCATGATTGATTTAATAACGATACGACAGAACAGAATTGTAGTACATCACAAGTTTTTAATTTTTCAGAAGGATGCTATCAGGTGCCTAAAGTTTAGTACATGTGTAACTGCAATATTGCTGCCTATGCTTTAGCTATGAGGTGATGGTGTGATGCAGAGGGGGGAAGCAAACAGGGAGAGAGGATGGAATGGGAAAGGATGAAGTTTACAGCAATAACATCATGTGGATACTCAGTTTGGTCATGCGTATGTCTTGTGGATTCTGCCAGTTCTTCCTAAAATAAAAACAAGGAGGATAACAGGGTAAGAGAGAATGTCAGACTCATTTCTTGTGGAGCTCACAGAAAAGGTGAGTGTTCTGAGGTATACAAATGAGAGAGGGAAAGGGCTTGATGAATCAAGTAGGTAGGAAATGTGTAGGGCATGATAGAAGGCTTGAAGACACTTAAGAGAAAAATGAACTAATGTGGCCCCAAGGCTGGCATTAGTAGTGAAATAGGCAAGAGGTGATGTGTTAAAAGATGAGGTCAGATAGCTATGGGCGGTAGAGTTATGTAGGACCTCAAAGATGAGGACAGGAAGTTTTAATTTAATGCAATGGAGAAGATGGGAGGGGGTTAGTGGAGAGATTGCAAAAAAAGCAAACATGATTCTGGGATGTATTAACAGGTGTGTTGTGAGCAAGACACGATAAGTCATTCTTCTGCTCTACTCTGCTCTGGTTAGGCCTCAGCTGGAGTATTGTGTCCAGTTCTGGGCACCGCATTTCAAGAAAGATGTGGAGAAATTAGAAAGGGTCCAGAGAAGAGCAACAAGAATGATTAGAT